AGGCATCGTCTGGCTGCCAAGTCTTGCTTCATGATCTCTCATATTTTCTGCTCCATTCATCCCCTGAGCATTTATGCGTTCCCTCTGATGGGACAGATTTTCCCAGCTGGGTTCTCTGACCCCACAGGCACCAGTCTGATTTCCTCCATAGTTCCCATCCTTCCTCCCCTCCACCATCCCACTAGAACTCTCTTTTCAAGTTCCCTTATGATCTCCATGTTGCCCAACCTACTGGCCAGTTCTCAGTTCTCATCCTATTTCCTATATCAGCAGGATTGGACAGTTGATTATTTTCTCCTTGAATTACTTTCTTTACTTGGCTTCCTAAAAATCTTGGTCTTCCTCTAACTTCATTATCAACTCTTCTCTGACTTCTCCCCTGACCTCTAAGTGTGAGTGACCCAGGGCTCAGTCCTTAGGTCTCTTCTTCAGTTCTCCTTTAAACTCACTCCCTTGGTGTCCTCATCTAGTCTCCTGGATTTAAGTGCCACCTATGCTAATGATGCCCAAATTTCACTGCAAGTCTCAACCTCTCCCCATACTCTAGATTCCAATATCCAACTGTCTAGTCCACAGTGTCATCTGGATAACCAACAGGCATCTCAAACCTGACCTGTCCAAAATTAAATTCTGATCTTTCCACCTAAAACCTGCTCCTTCTACAATCTTCCTGAACGTACAAAGTAGCAGTTCTCTCCTTCCAGTTCCTCAGGCCAGAATTCCTTGTCTCTTCTCTCCCTCTCAGGTTGTCAAAACTCATCCATTAGCAATCTTCTTGGCTCTATCTTCAAAATATATCCAGAATTCACACTTCTTGCTGTCTTCACCATTGCAACTCTGGTCTCATTCTTTTTTTTTTTTTTTTTTACTTCAAAGGGTGAAGTATTTCTTTTTATTTAAATTCAATTAATTAACATATGGAGTATTATTAGTTTCAGAGGTAGAGGTCAGTGATTCATCAGTCTTGTATAACACCTAGTGCTCATTATATCACATGCTCTCCTTAATGCCCATCCCCCAGTTACTCCATCTGCCCCCACCTCCTGTCCAGCAACCCTGTTTGTTTCCTAGAGTTCAGAGTCTCTTATGGTTTATCTCCTCTGATTTCAACTTATTTTTCCCTCTCTTCCCTTATGTTCATCTGTTTTGTTTCTTAAATTCCAAATATCAGCGAGATCATATGATAATTATTTGATCGACTTATTTCGCTTAGCATAATACCCTCTAGTTCCATCCACGTCGTTGCAAATGGCAAGATTTCATTTTTTTGATGGCTGAGTAATATTCCATTGTATATATATACCACATCTTCTTTATCCATTCATCTGTCGATGGACACCTGGGCTCTTTCCATAGTTTGGCTATTGTGGACATTGCTGCTATAAACATTGGGGTGCAGGTGCCCCTTCGGATCCCTACTTTTGTATCTTTGGGGTAAATACCCAGTAGTGCAATTGCTAGGTCATAGGGCAGCTCTATTTTCAACTTTTTGAGGAACCTCCATCCTGTTCTCCAGAGTGGCTGCACCAGCTTGCATTCCCACCAACAGTGTAGGAGGGTTCCCCTTTCTCCGCATCCCCGCCAACATCTGTCGTTTCCTGACTTGTTAATTTTAGCCATTCTGACTGGTGTGAGGTGGTTATCTAATTGAGGTTTTGATTTGGATTTCCCTGATGCCGAGTGATATCTAATTCATTCTTATCTGTACTTAGATCATGGCATTAGTCACCTGGCTGGGACGCTGAAAGCTCCATAAATTTTTTCATTTGGTCTCCTGCTAGTCTCCTGCTGGACTCCTGCTTCCACATTTGCCTCCCTTCAGTCTATTCTCAATATAACAATTAGAATGATTCCTTTAAACCAAAGTCAAATTAAGCCACTGCTCTATTCGAAAGTCTCCAGAAATTTCCACCTCAGAGTAAAAGCCAAAGTGCTTACAAGGTCCTATACAATCTACTCTCAGCATTTCCTGCACTGGGCCCCACCATCACGGACCTCATCTCCCACCTCTGCCCTTCCTTCATTCTGCTCTTCTTAGAAAACCCTTAGCCAGTTCCCTCACCTCCTTCAGGCACTCACACAGATACTGCCTTCTTAGTCAGGCCTTCAATAATAACCTCAGTAAAAAAATTACAAGCCCCCCCCCAACCCCACTCTTCATGCTATTCAACTCCTTGCTTTGTTTTCTCCATAGCCATTTTTTTTTTTTCAACCAATGGACATGTATTTTACATATTTGTTTATTATCTGGTTCTCTCAAAACAATGCAAGCTTGTGATGTCATTTTACTGGAACAGTACATACTCAATAAATATTTTTGAGTATATCTTATTAATTCTAATACTCACTACCCCCGACCCCACCAACTGGGGTTTTGACCTGCAGAAGAGGAACCAGGGTCCACGTATCTCACCACTTGCCTTTCTTCCTCATTTTCCCCTTCCTTAAAGACTTTAAGTGTGGCAAACTGAATAGAGGTATTTATCTCCACTTCTCCCCAAACTCATTTTCCAAGGTAAAAAGTCAATAGGTAACATTTAAAATTTAAAAGTCAAAGTTAGGGCGCCTGGGTGGCTCAGTTGGTTAAGCGACTGCCTTCGCCTCAGGTCATGATCCTGGAGTCCCTGGATCGAGTCCCGCATTGGGCTCCCTGCTCGGCAGGGAGTCTGCTTCTCCTCCCTCTCATGCTGTCTCTCATTCTCTCTCTCTCAAACAAATAAATAAAATCTTTAAAAATAAATAAATAAATAAATAAATAAAAGTCAAAGTTACCTGTAATTCTGTAATATGGCAGAAGATAAAGCAGAGCTGAGTGGTTGCCTCTGGGGAGTAAGAATTTGGGGACAGGGAGGAGTAAGAGATTATGCTGTTGAGTTTGCTGTTTTGTCTTTTAAGTTTTAGTGTACACTTTACAAATATTTAAAAGAAACAGGTAAAATACAGTAATAGTAGGAGGTTTTAATATACTTTTTTTCAAACCAGTGAGATCTAGGAGGTAAGAAATAAACACAGACACAGAGAGACTGAATAGTACAATCAACTCACTTGTTTTAATTGCTAAAGAACTTGACATCCACTGAATGAAAGACAAAAATATCAATCATGTACATGACTGCAAAGAAAACCTCAAGAAAATATGGAAAATAGGGATTTTATAGATCTCTTTCTCTATTAAGAATCCAGTAAGATTAGGAATAAATGAATTATAAAAGGAGCTTCAGAAATTCAGATATTCCTTTTCTCTCTTGACAGGGCCTAATTTTCAACAGCACTTTCCCCCTGGGGACACAATACATAAAAAGCTTCATTTGACAGTCAAAGCTCAGCGATGACTTTGGTGTTCTAGCCAGTGACTACCCTGCCCCTGAAGCACTGAGATTCATTGATTAAAAGGATGAGGAGCCATATGGCATCTTGATTTAAGGGGAATAAAAAATACATTAAATAATTCCTAAAATATCATCTCCATTATTCATTAGTGTGGTCATTACTTTAAATCCGGAGCCACAAAATGTCAATCAACTGATGGGAAGGACCAGAATTGCCAATCTCAGTTGTACCTCTCTGTGCATCTTTGGTCAGCATCTCTGAAAGGACTGATGAGCAGTGAGGCAGTTAAGATTCACTGATGGCTGGGATTTCAGCCAATTGCTGAAAAAAATCTTTAAAGTATCTGGATGAGTGCTTCTCAAAGTTGTGTGTCAGTTAAAATGCATATTCCTGGACCCCACCCCCACCCAACTGAATCAGAATATGTGGAGAAATTAAAAATCTACATTTTTCTGACAGGCTTTTTTGCCACAGTTTGAAAACTACTGATTTACATAATCCACTAACAATCTCCCAATAATCCAGAGTGAACTAAAATCATGGAAGGAAATGGATTTAGCATAGTAGCTCTCTTTTTCGGTGGGGAGGTGGGGAGAGTCTATTGTTTTACAGTTTAATTAAAATGAAAGTCTTGGGGCGCCTGGGTGGCTCAGTCGTTAAGCGTCTGCCTTCGGCTCAGGTCATGATCCCAGGGTCCTGGGACTGAGCCCCGCATCAGGCTCGCTGCTCAGCCGAGAGTTTGCTTCTCCCCCAGCCCCTGCCCCTGCTGATGTGTGCACATGCACACGTGCTCTCTCTCTCAAAAAAATAAATAAAATCATTAAAAAAAATAAAGTCTTTAGAATAACTACCTGACAGGCTTGACACACAACTATTATATTGGGTTATCTTTTACAATTTTGACTTTGACTCACTAGCCATTCTAGTAAAGGAAAGGATAGAGTTTCAGTTTGACATGCCGCATCTGGCTTCCATCCACATCTCCCATGTTACGTCCACCATTTCCCAGCACTGTATCTCTAGTCAGTGTCTCACACGTGCAGGATGGGGATTCCCACCCCATTTGTTCATTATGCAGGAGCATCCTCAAGAATAATGCCTTTCCAAGTTAGGCAAGATACTTCACAAAATAATAAAAGATGTTCATGAATCTTTTCATTGGTAATTCCACTTCTTGGACTATGTTCCAGCATTTCTCAGACTAATGTGCAGAGACATGTAGACCAGTGCACTAGCTGCAGCATAGCTTATAAAAGCCAAAAATCAGAATCAGCCTAAGTATCTGTAAGAGGTGGAGTTAAGTGTGTCTGCATATAAGAGAACATTTAAAATAATCATCACTTGGGCGCCTGGGTGGCTCAGTCGGTTGGGCGACTGCCTTCGGCTCAGGTCATGATCCTGGAGTCCCGGGATCGAGTCCCGCATCGGGCTCCCTGCTCGGCGGGGAGTCTGCTTCTCCCTCTG